TACGAGGATGGAGCTCACGCGCTCTATAGAGAACCTACAGTAGATGCGTTGTGTTGCGCCTCCCACTGTGAGCAGCCTTGTTCACTTGTCACAAATCGCTGCAATAACGGCAGAACAACCTCGAAAGCAGACTACACTACCACGCAGTTAGCGTACACACAGCTCCTAGATCACACAGCGGCCAGGTGGAGCCCGCGCCCGCGCCCGCACACTCACTCCTCCCCGAACACGTCGACGGCGTCGACGATCTCATGCCGCACGCCATTTGCCGCGCCGTTCAATCCATGCGCGGCGGCCGCGGCAGCATCGTCCAGCTCGCCCTCCGCGTCTGCATCCACGTCGCCGCGCGCGAGCGGGAACATCGGGTCCACGACCTCCGCGAGCGCGTCCCCGCGCTCCTGCGCCTCCTCCGCGCTCATCGGCGTGTGCGTGAGCTTCACGACGTCCCACTTGTCGCCGTATGCCTCGTACGTCTGCACAACGGCGGGTCAGCGGGGCTGCGCCTTCGGAGAGGAAAAGCAAGAGAGAGATACGCACGTTCACGCGCTTCTTCTTGAGCAGCATCTTACGCTCGATGTTCTTGTAGTATGCGCCCTTTGCGCGCGGCGGCCCGGCGGTCTTGCGGTCGACGTCGTCCTCGGCGGACATGCCGTCGTCGAGTACGAGTAGGAACTCGTTCGGGACCTCCTGCTCGACCTTGACCGTCTCGTAGTCGCGCACGAAGTGGAAGTGGGTAGGCTGTGCAAGTGCGTATGAAGGGCAGCATCAGCAGGGAGGCGTCACCGCGAGCAGCACGGTGTAATAGACGTGCCTCGTCTTCGGGTGGGTCGTCCGGTGAGCGCGCGAGTCGATTGCGCTTGAACTCGAGCGCGTCTTCGTCGTCTTTCGTGAGGTAATACGCGAGGAAGTGGTCCCCATCTGCCTCCATGGGACGCAGCACTGCACAGTCCAAACGCGGGTCCTCGACCTATCGCGGAGGATGTCAGCGTTGTGATATTGCGCTTATAGACAGGGAGTGCACTGACGTCAACTGGCCTGTCTCCTGGCCGCTCGGAGAAGCGAAAGAGGTCATACGCGTTCGCCCAAATCTCTGCGTCCGGGAATATCTCGAATTCCTCAACGGCGGTGAGCTCGGGCTTAGTAGGGTGCCGCAGGGACGCAAGGTCTGAGTTCGCAACCGCAGCAAAGGACGCGTCGATGTCGCGCAGCTGGGCGTCGCGCGAGATGTCGATCGTGTGGTCTTGGTTTTGTTTGCTGGAGCGTACGCGTAAGTATGTGCGTGCACGGCGCACGGGTTCGGAGACCTAGAGGAGACAGGGAGTACGCACATGTCTTGCGAGAGCGAGGCGCGCGAGGCGTTTTCTCGGCTGAGGTACTCCGTCTTCCGTAGCCACGGTACGTGAGGCATTGAAGCAGAGGGTGTGAGGATACCTGGGGTAGACGGGCCAAGGAAGGGGGTCGAAGTGGATGTGGGGTCTCCGAGGAGGAACTGGTCCAAAGGGTCGAGTTTCGACGGATGGCTCGGGTCCGGGTTTAGTTCTGCGGGGGCAGTCGCGCACATACATGAATACAGTTTCCGGCGAGAAAGAGGTCTATGGGACGTACCGGAGTCATCCCCGTTCTCTTCCCATAGACAGTCCCACTGCGACAGGTCGAGAGGCATGCCCAGCTCGCCGTCCACGACCATTGGTAGAGGCGTGCTCGCCGCGATCTCGTCGAGGAATTCGGGGCGCGCGTAGCGCATGGGGTCGGTGGGTATATTGAGTAGTTTGGGTGGACATGGTGGGGCGGGGAGTGGGTTTGAATAACGAACCCGGATGAGCAGGTCGAGTTTGCTGCGCCGACGGTCAGTACCTGCATCGCATTGGAGAAGTGAGCAACACCAACCTTTTCTTGAAACTCATCGCGGACGATGGCTGGGCCGGGTTCGCGGAGGTGGTGGTGGTACGGTACAACTCGCGTGGTCGCGGTCTCTGACGCCAACTCTCGACAAGCGCCCGTGCCCAGTCTCGGTTAGCGAAACCACGCTAGCCACGAGCTCTCAAGATCTCATCCGCCACCTTTGAGTTCACCGCTCACCGCGTAGCGTGTGCCAGGATCGTGAACACAGAAGAAAACTACAGTGCAGTGCATGCCAAAGTCAAGAATTGTGCGGACCACTATGGCAGACACCGCAGGCCAAGGAGTGCCCATCATCGCGTCCACTCCGCAAACGGAGTCAGTAGCCACCATACCCTGCGCAATGTCAGTCTTTTTCCTGCCCGGACCTCCGCCGGCCTTCCTGAGACCGCTCACAGTTGTCGGAGACAGTTCTCGCGCTACACATGTCCGCGGTGCAACATCCCCTATTGCTCGCTAGTCTGTTTCCGCTCCGAGGTGCGTTCACGCAGGCACTCCTGGGACGCGTTGACTGATAGTTCCAACAGAAACATGGGGACTGCTCAGAGTCGTTCTACAAGAAGGAGCTCGAGCTCGACGTGAAGAGCGCGCCGTCTGCAGGCACAGAAGAGAAGAGGCGGATGATGGACCTCCTCAAGCGCTTCGAGGAGGACGCCCTGGACGACAGCCCACTCTTGGCTGACCCAGATAATGACGGGAACGAGGACGCGGACGACCTCGAGATGCGCCTCCAGAACGTCAACCTCGGTGCGCGCTGTGCTAGAGATGTCCTCCTGCTTGTGAGCTGACGGCCAACGGGACAGACTCGGCATCCTACGAAGAACTGTGGGCGGCTCTGACTCCGGCGGAACGCGACAAGTTTCTGAGAGCACTGGAAGACCCTAACAGCGAGCTTGCGCAGCAGCTCCTGGCCAGCGAAGAACTGGAACGGGAACGCGTCAACCCGTGGTGGAAGGCCCCTACCGCATCCGAATCGGAGGTACCGTCAGATGAAGAGGCAGAACGAAAACACGGGGCGCGGCCGCCGCTCATTATGCCCATACCTGCGCCCCTGGTCAAGCAGTCGGCGAATAACGCGCTCAGTGGACCGCTCCTCTTGTACAATATATGCGCTGTGTGGTGAGTGACGTCCGATGTCTTCATTTCTTGTCCACTTTTGTCGTTAACATAGACGTGTCACAGTATCACGTATGCATACATCGTCCGTCATTTCGCAATCTCCCCGCTCTCCTCGCTCGCGCAGACCGATCCGGACCGCACGGCAGTTGCGCAGTCGATATCCAGACTAGTGCCCTTTCTCACAGACCGCAACTCGACGCTTGCGCACTCCTCTCTTTCTGGAGTTGTCACAGATCTGTGGTCGCGGTTCCCGCCAGTACGTCGTCGCGCCCCCGAAACACTGCTGGCTGGCCTCTAATCGTCGCTCTTCAAACAGGGCCACATGAATCCGCAATTCTTCTCACTCCTCCTGCAGGACACCGCGTTGCTCCTACGGCCCGCGACTGTGACAGTCATCCCCGAGCCCAAGTCCGCGCTCTCCTCCGCGGACCTCGAAGCGCACCCCAGCGCGAACGCGCTGCGCGTCCTCTCTGACCTCGCGGACTTCCTCACGGAGTCGCTAGCGCCGGACCGCGCGCCCGAGGGGAACGCGCCTTCTGCGCAAACGAAGTCGCGCCAAAGGCCAAATCATGTCGTCCACAAGCTCACGTTTTACGCGGCATATATTCTGGGCATCCCTGCGCCCATGTTGCGTGTGTTGGTGGACGAAGTCACCATGCGCGCGAACGCACTGGAGAAGGAGGCGAAGCAGGCGGCACAAACTAGTAGCCAGAGCATCCACAGGGTCGGGCAGAAGCAGAGCCAAGGAGGTTCCAGAATTGAGGAGTTAACGTAGGACTGTGACAGTATCCGTAGATTGTCTGTTGTAGTAGTTATAGTGCGATTATCGCGAATGAGTGGTGTGCGTGGTCTAGTAAAACATGTGGGGGATTTGAATCTGTCCCAGCGCGGTTGGTGATATGTTGTTACGGGCTATGCAAGGCCGGTATGATGCTTACTAGATACATTATAGTACACTTGCTGAGTGGAGGTGTGCGACCACCGGGGGCACTGTCGCATGCACAGTATGCCTATAGATCAGGACTTGAATGAAGCATCTTAAACAGAAGCCGCAAGCCAGACGCACCTCCGCCTTAATCGCAGCTCCCATCCGCAGGCCCGTCCTTCCACCGCTCGTCCAGCTTCTCCACCGTGCACTCGAACCGCTCCTTCCCCAGCCGCGCGTTCACCGCGTTGTGCTGCTCGCACAACCACCGGCTCAGCGCGCCGCGGCTGCTCACGTCCGGCGGGCGCGTCTTCATCTCCTCGCCCAGGTGCGTCGCGCACGTCGAGCACGGGTAGAGCACGGGCAACGCGCGCAGCAGCGAGAGCATGTTCACGCGGTGCGCCATAGTCGGCGCGTCCGGGTAGTACGCCGCGGTCGTGTGCAGGAACGTCCACGTCGCGCTCCCGAGCTGCTCGACGTCTGGGGGGCAGTTCGTCGGGCGCGTGTGCTCCTGTTCTTGGACGGGCGCGGGCGCGGTCGTCTGCTGCGAGGTGGACGCGAAGCCCGTGCCGGACGCAAACGCCGCCATCATGGCCGCGGTTTTCTGGCCTGGGGCTGTTGCGCCCTGCGATGGGGTGGGTGCCTGCTGCTTGGGCTTGTCTGTGTGCGGTTTCCAGTTACGGAACGCGGTGCATATCTTGCAGGGCTTCCCGTCCGGGCCTATGACCATGCCTGGTGGAAGAGAGGACTTGGAGGGCGAGCTAGAAGAGTTTGACGCATTACTAGTGGACGCAGACATTGTGGTCAGGCCCACACGGTAGGTAGCTTGGGGTCGAGGAGGTGCAACCAAGAAGTCAAGGTGTAGTTATAAATCAAGTTGGTAAAAGCAAAGGCTCGCGTAATGCCCGACTCCGGAGTGGGCACACGGGCGCCTACATTGTGTACACTCACCGAAGCCGCCTATTAGCTCCGACTTGGGGTGTTCGACGTTCGGTTTCTCAATCTTCCTCCAAACGTAGTAAGTACTCCGGCTGAGACAAAAGAAGCAAAAATAGAGTGACGAGAGTGGGATTCGAACCCACGCCCTTTCGGACCAGATATCGGACTGCACTTGAAGCAACGCCTTAGTCTGGCGCCTTAGACCGCTCGGCCATCTCGCCTTGTGATCTGCGCTGAAATCCGCAGGTACGTCAAGCACAGCCTGCTGAATTATACTGTAGGTTCACCAGCTAGAAACTCTCCTTTGCTTCACCGGAGTTTCACCCATACATAACCTCACGCAAGATGTTTCAGATCAACGTCTTACCAGTCGAACACTCGTCCTATGCAACTTGAAGCACTGGGGACATATCGGTGACTTCGGCAAAGCTTAGGTGGCAGGTGATGAGAAGTGCGCTCGACCGCCGAGATGACACACAAATCAAATTAATGCCCGCAGGCCGCCGCGAGCTAGCATTAATTCATGAAGCATCCACACGCCTGGCGGCGGTCGACAATGTCACTCTCCCGAAACAGAGTAGAGCAAGATCCAGCTGGAGTTGCTCGTGGAAACGCGGAGTCCTAAATTTGACGTGCCCGCAGTCGCGTTGTGGCATTGCAAGTCCGCGTTGCCCGACGCGCCCGCATCTTTCTTCTTTTCTTCATATTAATGCGTCACTTGCTTCACATTCATCACCATATCTGCGCTCCCCAAACGCTGCGCTGTGCCTCGAGAATTGGGTCACCTCATGTCATTACAACTGGGATCGGTTTGGCGGCAAAAAAGAACACTTACAGTCACTACGTTAGTCCTGTCTACGACACCGACGAGATGGTTCTTCCGGGTACTATCGTCTCAGAATGTCGCTGATTAATACAAAGCTCCTAGGAGGCCCTTCGACAAGAAGATGGCGAACCACGCCAGCCGCTCTTGGTTGGAATACATGCATCATGAAATCGTTCAAGCTCTGACATTCCCACGAGGTCTTCCTCACGCGAGGTCCTGACGCACCCTCGCCACCCTTGACCAGTACGAATGTTCTCAGAGAGGATGACCGCACTCGAAGGAAGATGGACGCGTTCGTTCTTGAGCAGTTGCCAAATCGGAATGCCGAGGGCGGATCTGGTAGCCGAGGCGGCGAAGAATGATCAGGGGGGACGGTGGCTGTTCCGGCAGAGTGATCTCTTGGCAGCGACGGAGTGCCAGCATGCCCCCGGCTTGGCTCCGGCACTGGCACTGGCGACCACACTCCCCACGCACTTCCCACCCGGATGCTGCTATCCTTGCCTTTGTGCTCTCATATACCCCGCCCACCCCTGTCTGAGGCGGCGTGCTCGCCCTTTTCCTCCTTCCCTCAGACGTAGGCGTCTCTGACTGACTGGTCTAGCGTGTCATCTATGGTCCTTGGGTGAACTATCTCGTGCTGTCTACTCTTGGGTCGTACTCGGAATGGATATCTTCAGGACGAAGCGAGCTTACCGCTTTATACCCCTCGGCGCTGCTGCCACACTCTTGCTATGGGCATTCGCTCGGTTCGGCGTAACCGATCACTCGACATACCGCCCCGGTCCTGACCAGATCGAGGACTTCTACCCTCCGCCACCTCCGCCTCACCACTTCCCTCCACCGTTCGGCGGCGCACATCCCCCGCCAGGGCGTCCTCCGCCCCACGTGCGGCCAACCACAGTATGGTCGGAGCGCGCCGACGCAGTGAAGAACGCGTTCCTACACGCATATCGAGGCTACCAGGAGTACGCAGGGTCACACGACGAGCTTCTACCTGTTTCGGATGCGTATGTGGACAAGTATGTACCCCCTCGGTTGTTGATGGCGGAGTTCGCAGTACTCATCTGTAAATAGCTTCAACGGCTGGCGTCTGACGCTAGTAGATTCTTTGGATACCATGCTCATCATGGGTTTGCACGATGAGTTCCGCGAAACCATACCCACACTGGCAAACATGACTTTCGCTCTGCCCAAGGTACGTATGATGGACGAGCGTGGTATACTGTGGGCGTTGATCCGACTATGCCCAGGGAAAATACGCACCATTCTTTGAAACTGTCATTCGTTACCTCGGGGGCCTCTTGTCCGCCTATGCTATCTCTGGAGAGCCCATACTGCTTACGCGTGCGGATGATCTGGGTTTCATGTTATTGCCTGCATTCAACACAACGTATGGGCTTCCGATGTATGCCGTCAATACTGTGTCGTAAGTGCACTTCATTCTCTGTAGGTCCGTGTCTCATCCTCGGGAATGCAGCGGGGAAACGAGGCAGGGCTGGACGGGATCGCAGATCCTGTGGGCAGAAGCTCTCAGCTGCCAGATGGAGTACAAGTATCTCGCCCATCTCACAGGTCGCCAGGAATACTTCGACAGGGTGTGTTGTTGTACTGCGTATCGGGACAAGGCTTGACCAGGCAGTGCAGGTTGAACGCATCATGGACCTCATGATTGAAGCCAACGTCGAGGACAACCAGTTTGCAACCAAATGGTCTGTGACAACCGGGCGTCCATCCAACGGTATGTTCATAACCTGGGTGTTCTGCGTGGCACGGTCTCATCGCACCCCAACGCCCCGGCTGTAGACCATTTCTCAGTAGGCGCGTTCGCCGACAGCGCACACGAGTACTTGCTCAAGCAATGGCTGCTCACAGCCAAATCCGAAACCAAGGCTCGCGACCTATGTGCGCATCTTACCTCTTTCCCGTAACGCACGCCCTAACGCCCCCAACAGATCTCCGCGACGTCGAAGCGATCCTCGGAAACCTCCTCTACGTCACCCCAAACCGGAACCTCCTCTACGTAACCGACACCTTCTCCTCGGGGCCCACTCACACCTTCGAGCACCTCTCGTGCTTCCTCCCGGGCCTGCTCGCACTCGGCGCGCACACGCTTCCGCTCGCGCCGCGCGACCGCGAGCGGCACCAGTGGGCCGCGCAGGGCCTCGCGTACACGTGCTGGATCACGTACGCGGACCACGAGACCAGGCTCGGGCCCGACGAGATGGCCATGGCGCACACGCCCGTCGACGCGGAGCACCCGCACGCCGGGTGCTGGGCGGAGCTCGTCGACGCGTGGGAGGCGAAGGGGCGGCCGGGGCGGGTGCCCCCTGGACTGGCGGAGGCGCCGCCGCGGCTGGAGGGGGACCGTGACTACCGCGCGACGAAGATCGACTACATGCTGAGGCCGGAGGTGCGTGTTTCGCTTGGATAGTGTGAGGCCAGCGCTGACGGGGGGTATAGACTGTTGAGAGCTTCTATATCATGTGGCGCACGACGGGCGATGAGGTCTGGCGGGAGCGCGGATGGGCGGTTTTCCGCGCCATTGAGAAGGAGGCGAAGACGAAGAGCGGGTATGCGAGCGTGGCGTCGGTCGAGAAGTCGCCCGCGCGGCTCAAGGACGAGATGCCGAGGTGCGTGTTCTCGATACACGCGCCAGTTACCGAGCTCACGCTTCAGTCATATCGCAGTTTCTTCACCGCAGAGACGTGCGTACTGTTTTGGTTGTACGATTCCCCGTGGGCTCGAACGCTGATGTCTGCCATTCTAGCCTCAAGTACCTATATCTCCTGTTCCAGGACGAGGATCTCATCCTGTTGGATCGTTGGGTGTTCAACACCGAGGCGCACCCGCTCCCCGTCTTCGAGTGGGCAGATTGGGAGAAGAAGAGATACGGCATCTCATGAGCCAGGCTACGCCCCACTCTCGCGCCCGAGTTTTTACTAAATTAATGTGTAAACTAACGCGTACATACTACAGTATGCTCCTCGAATATAGCTTGGATATCGAGGATTTGGACCTGCCGCCACACAAGCGCGTTGTTGGGAAAGTACTGCGGGAAGGCGGCCCGGGATGTGGATGCAGTCATGCCGCCGCTCCGTTCTTGCAGCATGAGAAGTCGCGAAGTGCGATCATGCTACCTGGCTTATCTCCCTCTCCACTCGTTTGCGGCGCGTCTGCTATCAAGAAGACGTTTGCCCGCATGTCTCATTTCTGCGTATATAACGCGCTCACTCGGGTGAGCGCGTTGTTACTGGAGCTACTGCAACGCTATGTCGCTCTGCTCAGGCTATATGCGTCTTCTACTGTTACTGTGCGCGTTGTGGTCCGTGGGCGCGCGGATGGCACCACCTATGCGCTTCAAGGAGCACCTTTTACCAGTACCCAGGGATGATGGTACCGTGGAGAATAACGCCCAGTTCTTCGAGGTAAGCCCGTCTAGCTCTGTCATAGTTGCGTCGGCTAACTAATATCTGCTTTTCGCCATGGTCAGATGCCACTAGATCACTTCGGGAACGCCACGGGCACGTTCAATAACAGATATTGGGTCAATGCCACGTACTACAAACCGGGGGGTCCGGTGTTTTGTCAGCACTCACCATCTGGTCCTTGGGAGTGTCGCTAACTTCGGCGTCGGAAGTGTTCGATTCGGGAGAGCAGAACGCGGAACCGCTCCTCCCGTATTACTTGCAAGAGTACCATGGGCTGTCTGCGACGATGCGTCTCGCCAAGCGCTACAGCGGGGTTGCGATCCTGTGGGAACATCGCTTCTACGGCGACTCGCTTCCGTTCCCGGTTAATGTACGTTTCTGCTTATCGTTCAAAGGACATGTTCTTTATCACTCATGCCTCCATAGGAAAACACTACCGCCGAACAGTGGCAGTTCCTGAACACCGAGCAAGCCCTCGAAGACGTCGTTTATTTTGCCAACAGGTTCTCTCTTGCGAGCGGACGCGCGCTCAACGCTTCGACGGACAATCTCCTTCATCCCTCGAGGACGCCTTGGGTCTGGCTCGGGGGCTCATACCCCGGTGTCCGCGGCGCGCTGCTCCGCGTGCGCAACCCGGAGACGATCTTCGCGGTCTGGGCGTCCTCGGCGCCCGTCCACGCCCAAGTCGACATGGCCGCGTACTACAAGGCCGCGGAGCGCAGCCTCACGCGCAACTGCTCCGCAGACTGGGTTGCTGTCACGCGCTTTGTGGACGAGACGCTTGCTAACGGGAGGGCGGAGGAGACGGCGGACCTCAAGTTCAGGCTGCTGAGCGCACGGTCGGACGGGATCACGAAGGAGCGCGCAGCGAACACGAGTGCCGTGAGCGCCGCAGGCGTACTTATGGATCCGCTCAACTTCTACCAGGTATGGGCCTGTCTGCCTTCCGCTCGAACGACGATGAATTGACAGCTAACTTGATTGCAGTACTACGGGTTTGAGGCTTCCGTGCTGCCTTTCTGCAACGTCCTCGAGACCCGGAACTCGACTATTACCCCGTTCGAGACAGGCTTGGCCGCGAATCTCGGCATTGTTGCTGCTTTGGACGCGTTCTTGACTGCCATTCGCGAAGTCAACTACGATGCGATACCCGGCGACGCAGACGACCCCGTCCAAGACCGGTCATGGATGTGGCAGTATTGCTCCGAGTACGGTATGGAACCGGTCGCTGTGGCACCAACTCGTCCCATGGTTAGCTGACATATCGCATATTGACGCAGGCTTCTACCAGCGCGGAGATCCAGATAATGCGCTCTCGATCGAAACATCTTTTCGATCTCTGGAGCGCTTCCAGGAGGAGTGCAACGCAACATTTCCGCGCGGACTTCCCTCTTCTCCGGCCGTGCAGAAGGTGAACAAGTATGGAGGATGGGATATGACGCCCTCCAACGTCCTGTTTACCAATGGAGAATGTAAGATTGTCGTTATCCTCGTTCTATAAGCGATACTCACAGCAGGTAGTTGATCCCTGGAGAACGATGGGACTCGCCTCCATCGAGGCCAACTCGTCCGGCCGGACGCCTACTGTCGTGGTGCCGCGGTATGTCGCTGACCCTCCGGACGTCGCCCACCTCTAACAGCACTGACGGTTACGCGTTATATCCCACATAGATGCGACGTCGCGCCCCAGTACCCGTCATTCTTCGGACTCACGCACGCCAATATGGTCCATGTGTCGGACCTCCGTGTTCTCTTGACGCCAGATGCGAACCACACCGACTTCAAAACGGTCGGTTTCTACAGCCCCGTGTCTCAAGAGCCATTTTACGCGGGGCTTGGTCTCTTTGAGCTCGCTCTGGATGAATGGCTGCCATGTTTCGGGAAGGACGGTCATTCTGCGGGAGGCGATGCTGAACAGGTGTTCTCTCCATGATTGAAAAATGTTAATTTAACGGTGTAATCATACTGAGGTTCATACGGGCGGCCGACCCGGATACGTACAGTCGCTACACCCTCATTTTACCTGCGACCTGTACCACCCTGTAGGGGCGATTCTTGCAAAGAACCATGCATCGTGCCAATAAAAGAGAGACATCTACGAGGCGAAAGGACTCACTGAAAGAGCCCACTAAAGCAAAAAGCTCTCTGTCCGGGAGTCGAACCCGGCTTTCGCGCGATCAGTTATACATGACAAGCGCGTGTACTAACCGATATACTAACAAAGAGATGATAGGGCTCTAACTACTGGTAATATGTCGTGAGACTGTTGCGATACAGTCCCTGACGTCTTGAGGTTAATTTCTGCGGGCATGCTTCTTGAATCTTTAGTGGCTTTGCTTGATACAACATGGCGCATTTCCCCTATACGCGCCTCCTCATCGGAGAGAAGAAAGCTATTGCAGCAGTAGGACACCACTTCCATGTCCTGAACGTTCAGTACGTGTTGTCTTGGCCGGATGCATGGTCTTGTCGGCTAAGTCTGTCCGAGCCAGCACTGGCGAGATCATCTGTTCAACAACAAAACTTGACGGCGATGCGCAGGAGAAGTTGTTGAGGTCAGGACCGATCCGCTGCGCGGCCGTGGACTCGGGATTTGCGCATCTCATCACTACTGGCGACGACAAGCGGTTGAAAGTCTGGCACATCGGAGATTCTCTCGAGCTATTGAGCGAGCGGTGCGTCTGTATATGCATTCTGACGCGTACATCACCTGAACGTTGGATGTACCTCGCAGAGAACTGCCCAAAAAGCCTACGGAGATTGGATTCACTCCTGACGGCCAGACAATCGTTGTAAGCGACAAGTTCGGCGATGTATTCAGGTGCGTCCCAGCGAACGCCCGACGCATCGCGTCACTAAAAGAAAGCTCAGCTATCCCCTACAACCCGACCCTTCCCCCACCCCTTCGACAAGCCAAGCCGGCGCGTCGAAACGTGGTTCTCTGACCGCTCACGAGAATCCTTCGAACGGAACGCTGATCCTGGGCCATGCGTCCATGCTCACCACATACCTCCTCACGCCGGAGGGGCAATACATCCTGACTGCCGATCGGGACGAACATATCCGCGTCAGCTGGTTTCCCAAAGGCTATGTCATCGAGCGGTATTGCCTCGGCCAAGAAAAGTGTGTTCTACATACTACTATATTCTTCGTCCGATACTCACGAGTTAGCGGATAGATTTGTCTCTGCATTGCACATACCGTCCTTCAACTCGTCGATGTTGGTATCCGGAGGTGGAGACCCAACTTTGAAGTTCTGGGATTGGATGTCTGGCAAGCTCACAGGCGAGGTGTCCATCTTCGATGCTGTTACACCCCACATCAAGGTCAAGGCACCGAAATGGCGTCATGGCTGGAACGACGGCGAAGGCGAAGAGGGCCCGTCTGAAAGCAAAGCGAAGGGCAAAGGAAAAGGCAAACGGCGGGGAAAGGGAAAGAAAGGCACCGCCGACGCTCCAGAGGAGACTACGGAAGCAAGCCAGCAAGCGGAGGGCGGGTCGGGCGACCATGCTGAAGCGCTTCCCGCAGCGTCGAACGAGGACGTGCCCATGACAGAGGCGAGCGCGTCTACACCCGTATCCAGCGCCGCGCAAGCCACGCCGGGTGTGCCAGAAGACTCGCAACTTGTCTTTGCTGTCCACAGGATCCAATCTGTCGACCGTGGCGAGCACGGCCGTTTCGTCGTTTTTAGCGCTATCGGGTGAGGCATCAAGCATCCAATCTGGTGTCCATGCTCCTGATCACATCTATAGTGCTGCAGCAGTATTCTACGCCCCCATCCCCGCCGAGGGCGATACACTACCCGCTTCTGCTGTCCGATCCGTGGTCTTCGAAAAGTCCGTAATCGACTTCACCGTGGCTCAAGATGGAAATGTCTGGGCACTACTCGACGCGGAGTGGGAGACTGCTCCGGAGGCATCGTCAACGGAGCAGACGTCTCCCGTCCGTCTGCTAATATGGCAAGACACCACGGTACGACACCCCGCAGTCAGTCTCACGTCTGCCACGCACTGACAGCAGCTCTCCAGCTGACCGAGTCCCCTGGCGTCCAAACACTACTTCTCACCGCGCTCAACTCAAAATCTCTCCTTCCCGGTAAATCCTCCTCCCCCCTGTGGCTGCAGCTGATCCTTTACTTACTTAATTTTGCATCGACAGCAGCGACCGCGGCGCAGCTCAAGGCGCTCGACCTTTACTCGGGCCTGTCGGCGCTCCCCAAGAACGTCGACCCGGAGCACGACCCGCTCATCCGCGACACGCTGTCCGAGGTGGCGGCTACACCGGCAGAGGGCGCGGACGGCAAGCAGCTCACACAGCGCGAGCTCGGGCGACTCAGGAAGAAGAAGGCGCTGCTTGCGAAGATCCAGGAGCAGGAGCAGAAGGCGCAGGCGAGTCGCGAGGGGACTGCGGGCACGGAGGGAGAGGCGGAGCGGGAGGTCAAAAGGGCGCGGTCGGAGAGCGCCGCCGAGGAGCCTGCGGCTGCGGTTGCGGACCCAGAGACACGGGATGTCGAGATGAGCCCGTTGTGAGCGTGTAAAGTGAAGGAACCTTGTTGAAATGAGTGTTGGAGAGACACGGGTTGTAGGAGTAGCAGATGATCAAGAAATATACAATGTGCGCGAACGTGCCGCTACGCACATCAGGTCGAGATACGCACCAACGTACGGAGATGGTTGTCACTGCCTGCCTTCACTGCTCCCTGATCCGTAGTCTCCGAGTCCTTGGGGTTTCACGGAATAGCCCGTGGGAGGTCTGCAACAGGTAACACTCTATAGCAGCACGGAAGCTTTACATATTGTCCGTTCATGAAGCCTGTGCCCCGTTCACTCCTCTATGATGCTACGACAGCCACCTTACTGCTGCGCACAAGTCCGACACCAGCGCGCACATACCAAAGATATCAAATATACCGGAATGACGAAGACGGCCTCAGAGGGATATGTCGAGGTAGTGCGCACCAATTCTCCTGACCCTTCGGAGAAACAGGCTCCAGCCTCGTCAAAGTCGCATGCTGAGGGTTCCTTGAGAGCAGACAGGACGAAGACAGGACGGAGAGAGACAAGTGACGCCAGCTCGGCTCCCCCGTCGGTTGGCTGGAGCTCACGTTGCCGTTTCTCCAGTCTCGAAGGAGCGCAGGCTGCTGGTTCAAGACGCTGCGAGATGACCGGACCCCACCGCACCTGATTGATAGTTTGTGTGCGTTAGATCGAGCACCACCGCATGCCTGTGACGGTGAGTTTGACGGGCCTTGCTTCGATGTAGTACACTTCGTGGGGGTCAGCTCCCGCGCAGGGCGGAATGAACGTTATGCGATGAAAGAAGGAAATGGGATTGCTCCGGACGTACGAGGCCGCAGCCTAAGTTTGCGGGTCGTGTGAGCAGGATAGTGGAGGAAGATAGATGCACAACGAGCAGTTGGGAATATGGGAGCTGTATGTGGTGCGCAGTGCATGGAAGACGCTAGGGAGCGAACCTTGTAGTCCTCAGATCTCAGAAGCGCAGCCACGGGGTTGTTGGAATCGAACCTGCGGTGTGTCCTGGTATGGTTGTACTAAGCATCGCAAACTACTCCGCCGGACAGTAGACTTGTATTTTCCAGGGTCCCTGACCGTTCATGGTCACCCGCCCAGTCCGGCAAATGCGGCAGACGTGACCGCGGGTGGTGTCCCTTCGATCCGGCAACTCAGGCGAAACAAACAAGCGGCAGGAATGTTATTACGGGTGTACCTGAGTGCGGTGCAGCTGCACATGCGCCTCGCTGGATCTAGGGCGCGGCGGGCTACGCGGGCGAAAAGGTGGCAAGCGTGGAGGATGCTGTCAAAAGGCAAGATGCATACCGGGAGGGTACTCGCGCTCGGTGTCTGCGCTCAATTTGGCGCGTGGTTCCTGGCGATGGTGATGCTCTGGCGGCGCCGGAAGGGGTGCTTTGACGTTTCGGCACGCCCGGTCAGCGGGAAGGTGTGCGCGACGGTCGCACAGCGGAGTGCGTTACAGGGACTCGGGGTTCCATGATTAAAGGCAACCGAACACCGGCGTCGTCTTGGGGTAAAGAAGCGCAAAGGGTTGCATGCACGCTTGTCAAACCTTGTGTACAAGCACAGGATAGAACATTGAGCGAAAGTGTGCGAGTCGGCACGGCGAACGAGTCACGGTCGTGCATCCAAGGCCAGGCCGACATCAAAAGCGGGCCGGAAGCAGGTTACACAAGTCGGGTAATCGTATCGCCATGATTGGACACCGCCCGGGCGTATATACGAGAGTGTCAATTAAGTAATTTGTGTAGGACGCAGTAGGTGTGCGTTTGGCGGACTGAGGAGGTACTCACCGGTGTCTGCCGCTGTCTGTCGAGAGGATGGCAAATCATAAACATCAGATAGCAGCTGTCATTTTGTGCGGACGCTCAGTCCGTGGTACGGATTGAGGCTGCCTTGCGATATCGGCATGCTTTCGGCGCGATACTACCGAGTCATCGTAGAATAGCAGTACCTGAAGCGAGAGAGATCGTTCCAGCGGGTATTTATGCGATTAAATACCATCCTGTAGTGCCTCCTCTCGACAAATGTAGGTCAAGCCAGTCACCAGCGGCGGAGAGCGCCAGCACGAAAAGAGCGGCGCGGAAGCGAAAGAGAGCAGGATGAAAGAGGCGCCGACCTGGAGGGTACTCCTGTGGGTGCAGGCACGTGGCGGTGGGAGGAAAATGATGGGCCAATCGGGAGGGGCGTGTTGGGGCGAGTACCCTCCCGGTCGCGAAAACGTCAAAGATACCGTTTGTGCGAGACGCCCTCTCACAATCCTCTCGCCGTCTGCCACTCCCTCCACTCCGTCCTCCCCGGCCCTCCCCCGGCCTCCAGGCACCCCTCCTCCTTCTGTGCCGGCCGTATAAAGTCATCTCACACACCCTCTTCCCCATCCGAGCACGCCACCCCCTTCCCACCTCTCCGCCCCTCCCAGGTCCCCAAGATGCACCGTGCACACATCCTCGCTCGCGACGACGACGACGTCAACTGTGGCTCTGGCGGCGGCGACACCAGGTTCACCGGCCTCCGCATTGCGTCCATCTTCATCATCCTCGCGACCTCCCTCTTCGGTGCCCTCTTCCCCGTGCTCGCTAGGAGGACAGAATGGCTGAGCACCCACATTCCCACTCGCGTCTTCGACACGGCGAAGTACTTTGGTAGCGGTGTTATCGTGCGTCTCCATCTTTCTCAGGTCTCGGCCTCCGTCT